ATGAATACTGTAGGTGTTTTTGGTCTCTTGACTTTTATCCAGTGAACTGTGAGAGGTCAATGCGGTAAAATTGTCGTAATTTGTACATCGATGCACTCTGCACTACGAAAACCCAGAATCTGCCTAGACTGTCGCCATATATTTGCCTTATCCACTAATAGCTTTCGTCATTGAGCCTTTTCTTGGCTTTTTCAGAAATTATTCGTCGATTAACGCTATAATTGTAGCTTTTGCATTGAGCTGACAGCAGCAAAGTGGTTATTTAGGGATTTTGCGCGAAAAAATCGTGCACTAAGAGCACAGCGCAGGTGTGCAATCGTTATTACTTCCCATGCATCAGCAATTTTATTCGATAATAAGGCTAGTTATTATGGACAGTGTATAGAAATAGTGCTGCTGTTGCCATGAGCGCTGCTATTTCTAAACTAGCCCTAACTACTACTACGACCACCACTACTACTGTTATTACTCCTACTACTACTACTACTACTACCACTACTGCTGCTGCTACTGCTGCTGCTGCTGCTGCTGCTACTTCTACTACTACTACTAACAGCTATTGCTGCATTCGTTTTAACTAAACCTGCTGATAAAATAGACCAGTTAAACGCAGCATTAAGACTAATATTAGCACTGTAAGACGCACTAAATCATATTATTATTTGTCATTATTGTTATTATTACCATCATCATCTGCTGGAATGTTGCCCATTATTATCGCTATCGACATCGTAGTGGTCCTATATACTATGCACATGGGCTGGTACTTCACCTAAATTAAAGATCAATTTTTATATTACCTCCTGACTACGTCCTCAGTTTTGAGGTTTTTCATGGCCATGAATTTCAGTAAGTTTTTTTTCCGGAAAGTACCACTTTATTACCCATCTTCAGAAGAGTGCTGCGCCCATTGTCGGCATGCGATACAAAACTGTTGTTTTTTCTTCTTGGTTGTGAATAGGGCATATCATCTCTTTGTTCAACAAAATTTTTCAGGATTTTTCCTGAAAAGGCAGATTTCGCCCTCAGGGCAAAAAATTGAATTATTAGAGCATATAATTACATCGAAATTTTACCTCTTTTCTTTACACATGAAGAAAGATTTTTTAAAAATTTTCTTCCAACGTTAATACGGTTGGTAGACAAGAAGAAGAGTACCATTTCACTACTTGTACCGCCAGATCTCGTTCTAAACTCGCCTATTTCCTAGTT